ATGGGGCAAGGTCAGAATTTATCCAGACCAAAAAATCAATATTTTAAGTACTTACGTAAAAATTAATATTCTACGTACTTAGTAGAAATTATTATTTTACGTACTTAGTAGAAATTTGTGCGAAAATTAATCAGCCCATTTCGTCCTGTGGTGGTCCTAACAGGCGACTGTGGGTATCAAAAGGATCTTTTGGCTTCCGACAGTATAACCACCTCGTTTACGCCAGACGTAAAATAACCAGGCCGGCGTCAGTTCAAATCAATTTAGATCTAATGTTTTCTTTCACGCATTAGTAGCCTTGCAGTATTGGTTATAGCTACCCTTTCGAATATATTATACCTACATATATGAATCTGTTCAAGTGATTGAAGAGCGGAGCCGAGCGTAACACGCACGGATAGTCATATGTAAGCAGCGCTTGGCGGAAATCCTAATATTACTAGCTTTTTACTAACACCACCCGTCTTAGTGTAACAGTATCCTTTGGCGAAAATGATTTTTCAATTGAAGAAAATGGATTATCTTATGAACTGTAAACTCATATGATGGTCTGACAATTACAACCATAGATTTAGTACAAACTGACGTTAGAATAGATCGGCAACGCAAAATAGAAAGAGCATAGTGAACGCGTAAGTCAAAGCGAGAAAGATAGGCTAGAGCATTCACGTACACACTATCGGTCTGTATTGGTCTGGGTTCATTCGTGAACAAAAGAAATCCCGCTCGTATTTGCAAAATCTCGAAACCCGCTTGCCAAACGTGGCAAATGTCCATCCTATGAGCCAAACTATGGGGGAGCCTACGTACAGCAGTGGACTTTGGATGTCTATCCATATATATCCATATATATCACAGTCTGTGATGGCATGGTAATGTACGCATTTTACGTTCATTTGATTGTCAGTACATATCTATAATATCATGTAGGTACATTTATGTTCGTTTGATAGTACGTATAATAATATGTAAAATTTAAATAATTCCAGTTAGCTAGAATTTTTGCACTTTTATATTCTCTATACGTTTCTCCCATAGAGAGCTCCATAGGGAGAATTTTTCCATAATTGCCAGGCTTGGCGGGCGGGTTCACTAACTCCTCATTTTTATTATTTTGTGTTGTTATGAGGAAGAAGCCGCTGCCATTTTTTCAGTTATACATTTATTTTTTATTTTTAGGGTTATTTACAATAATCCATCATACTTTAAAAATATTGTAGTAGTACGAAGTTTCTCTCTTTTCATTTAGGCACTGCATTGTAATGTAACTACTTACGAAAAATCACATGTTAACAGATATCACTGGGTTTTAGTTTCATTCGAAACTCGAAAAGTTATTCGGCTACATGTCCCTTAGCCAGGTAATGTAAACAGCGACGCGAGATACCCAGTCTAACCTTCTCTGTTTGAAATTGGTTGCAAGTTTTATTCTCAGTACTCAAAAATTTTAAAAACAAACCATATCGATTGAAATTTACAATATGCTCGTGTATATTCATGAAGAGCCATAAATGCTTCCCTGGCATTCATCCCATCTGTATATGCCGTTCCATGTGTTTATGTTATAGCAACTCACAATGTAATTAGCGTTCAATGCAAGCCAAAGAGTTGAAACGGACAAGCAGCCGTTCCGACAATGGATTCATATTATACTCATTGATTTATATAGATATATTATACCGTATTACAGTATAAACTATACCTACAAATCAGCCATATATAACAAATATAATTTAATGTGAATGAGTTTAGTTTTCATTTTGGTCCATAAATATGAAATTTGTTAACTACTATAGTGAAACTTATCGGATCCTAGCATAAATGTGAGCTATCACTAACAGGTGTTAATAAAAAGCATTTATAGTCAACCAAATCAGACTTATTGCACCAGGCATGCCAACCAAAAAATGGGAACATACAATATTCGATTCTTGAAAAAGTCGATATCGATTATTTAGAGTTAGTAATCATTTACTGTTCAATTTTAATAATACCAGAATAAATTAAATACGGATAATTTAAAACACAAGATTTATCAGTTTCTACTTATTTCTGGAGGGAAGTTAAAAATAAATTTATTCAATCACTATCAGTACAATTAGTTGAGCTGTCATTGTTTGATTTCCAATGCAGTCAAAATTAATCCTCTTTAAAAGTCATCAATGATTTAAAAAAAATATTTTTTTCTACAATTTTTGCCAAATGATCCTATGTGACACAGGCACATGCTTCAACGAATACATATAGAAGAAACAGTAGAAAAAGTTAAAACCGAGTCACAAAATAAGAAGACAAACACAAAATCACAAAATTACGCACAGTAAGCTTGCGTAATGGCGGGATTTTGAAATTATAAAAACTCGTACGAATTAACTTGAGACCTGGGTCGATGACGTAATTGTCAATGTACGGTGTGCAAAATAATGCGTCGTAATATATTTTATTTGAAATTTTTGAAATTTGCATGAGATTATTAATTAAAATAAAATAAAATGTTCTGGCAAGGGGTGAAGTAATAAGTGATATAATATTATTTTTAGTTAACGCGTCAAGGAAGGACAAAGAAATAAACATACACACTTTCTCATTTATAATATTATTAATTTATTTATTATACACTTTATTGCACTATAAAAAGTGTTACAGATTCGTACACAATAAAAATACAAAGCATAACAGGCGACCTTATTGCTAAAAAGCAATCTCTCCCAGGCAACCTTAGTGTGAAAGTGAATCAATCTTGGATAAGCGGAACAGCACAAACTATGTAAAATCAAGGAATAGAAGTAAGGAATATTAATAAGGATTTATTATAATATTTATTATTCATTGTCACTGTATACGATCGGTTCTATTCCGTCCATTAGATCGTCCTCACTTTCACTCTCTGAGCTGGATTCTTCCCCTCCGAGGGATATAATTAATTCTCTCTTCAAAAGTCCAAACCAAACAACAAACAATTATCAAAAATATCGAACTAGAGTCGAGACGCGTATCCGTAACAAAAATGCTATCGGTATTAAGGGCGCACGGCCAGCGCGGGACGCGGTGCGGGGAGTCGGGAAGGGGGTCGCATTCCAGCGGAGTCTCAAGTTAATTCGTACGTGTTGTACGTAGTGGTTTTTTCAGCGCGGACCTGTATATGAGCTTTTTTGCCTACACAAATTTACGTTGACAAATAAAAAAAACTTGTTTTATTCATGATTCATGTAATTTAAGGAATTTTAAAAATTAAAATTAAAATAAACAAATAATACATTAAAAAAATTAATGATTCGATTATTTGAATATTTTTACCGATTATTGGAATATTTTTGTCAATAATTCGCATAACAATTAATTTTAATCATTCAAACACTACGGTAATGTACATAGCCACATATCATTGAAACGACGTCAAGTACAAAAAGTTGATACTGGTTATTTTTTAATATTTTGATTTGTTTGAAAGATTCAAATTTAAATTAGTGATAAAAAAAACTATACACGTTGTAATGAAATATAGATAACTTTATAATTCTTCGAATTTACGTAAAAGGTTATTTTAAATCGTGTGAGTACGCTTGTACAAAGTTATTGCGGAATGATTAATGTGAAACGTCAAAAGGTATTTCTTAGATTTGGTTGACTATAAAGTAAAATTAAAGCAACGACGGGGCTGCCGTTCTCTGCCCCGAAATGAACTAAAATTTTGCATTTTTATGAGTTTGTGACTAATTGAAATTACTTTGGGTAAATAAATATAGTCATTAATTGATATAAATTGCTGCATCCCTTAGCTTCTCTATATCGAAATTGGGAACAAAGACAGCAATGGCAGCCCGGACTGATTTTCTTCCTCTCCTCTCCTCTTTTTTGAAAAACGTTACCCCTACACTAAGATTTTCTCTTGTATTGTGGGGGCAGTTTACAAACATAAATTGCACAAGGACGAACATTCAGACCCGGAACAACTACTTGTAGGCCATACGAATACTGTTCCGTGCGGGATTCGAACCCGCGACCCCCAGCGCAGCAACTCATTGCTAAGCCACTGCGCCACGGTGTTGTCAAATTTTCTTGGGTTTATTATTACATTACCTAATAGGTAGGTGATGAGTTTAATAAGTGTAGTAGGTACCTGTATTTGATATTATTCCTGTGTTTATCGCTGCCACATACAAATCAGTACAGAAAGGTAGGAAGGACTAAGGAAAGTCATAATTAGTTGTTTATTATGACAGGCCTCTAGGCTTTATTCTAAGTTTAGCAGTGGACATTTAATAGGTTTGTAATAAACGATTTTATTAATGTACATAATATAAAATATAATATTAATAAACGATTTTATTAATGTACATAATGTAAATAATAGTAAAAGGAAATGGGCAGTAGCATCTGCCTTAGAACAGCTCTATACTGTCTCTGGCACTATCTATACTATATACAATATGTAACGTAATTAACGCACACCCTCAGACCCAATTAGTATATTATGTTATAATCATAATACATACACTGAATTTTTAGTTAAACATTTTTATGCACTGATTATTTATCAAATTAGTTATACTAATTCCGGAAGAATGTTGTGGTCACAGTACAAATCCACGAACGCAAAGACTTTAACGTGCTTGAAATAAAGTTCATTTTTCTTTATTTTTATTGAATGACAGAATTAGTAATAATACAAATAAAACTGCACTCTTAAAAGTCTTATTGCCTTAAGTTACGGTCCATTTCAGTTTGTTTTGACTGTACAGATTTAGTGTGACTGTAATTTAAGTAGTTTTAATTATTTTTGGGATAAAAAATTACCTATATTAAAAAGGGATCGATTCAGTAAACCATTCTGAACAAACTACTTTCTCAAAGTGCATTAATTATGTTACGTGTTGTATATATATATATATATATATATATATATATATATATATATATATATATATATATATATATATTCTCTCCATGTGGCAACATATCTATCATTAAAATTATTAAATGAAAGGTACATTACTTACAAAATCGTCGTAGGCGTCCTTAACGGCAGTAAGCGCAAGTACCCCAATAAGCGGGATTGCTGTGGTGATGGGCGTCAACGAAGATATGGCAGGGATGAGTTGCAACACTAGCAGACACAGGAAGTAGAAATTTGCAAGCCGCTGGAACTGTTCCAGCAGATTCAATGGCAGGAACGTAATTATCGAGTATTTCGACGTCTTGATGTAGTTGTTCTGTTGATAAAAAAAAAATATTAAATACTCGGAATATATTTATTTTGAAATTATTATTTAAATCTAGTTTTTAAATTATGTGTGTGATATAAGGACTCTCGAAATGTCACGTAGGAACCTCGCCTGTGAACCCTGATGATTGACGGACGAGCGACGAAGAGCGAAAATCCATTCAAGTACAAACGGAGAATGGGAAGAAAAAGTTACTAGTGCGAAGTCATCATCAGTTCTGCGCTTATCAACCCACCCAGAATGGCGTGGGACCTATGAAGAGCTGTAGACTAAGGGAGCTATTGATGATGATGATGATGATAAAGGACTATATTGAATTAATTAGAAATAAAATTTAACGAGGGATAGTACTATACTACTATAGAGATATTACAATTAGTATCATGAAGCAGTTAGGTACTACCGTTAACAAAATATCACTCGCAGATTTGATTCGAATTACCCAGGTAATTAACCAGGAGTCGGGGTCTCACTTAAGAACGCTCCTCCACACTCATTCATGGCCGATTTTGCAAACTTTTTTCTAAACATTACAGTTGTTTGAATAAAATAGTTCAATGGTTTCACTTTAATAATCATTCAGGTTATAATTTATTTGATGGGTAACTTTTATCTGATAATTGGAAAAGCGGTCTTTAGACGATTGTTCAGAGAAATTAATAAATTAAAAAACAGCAACTTCTAACAACATGCATCATTGGTTACGATTAACGGTTAGTGGAAATTCATAACATCGAATGCGCTGTATTAACGCGTAGTTTATCACTTTACGAATTCCTTCTTAAAGGTTATTAAATATGACGAAAATATAATAACAGGAGATCCCAGTTCTGATCTCGGAAATACACCAGGAGGTTCATTGTTAAAAATAATAAAAGTGTGAGAGTGGATGTTCGACTTGCTCTCTTGCTTACGCAATTAATCATCATTATAAGCAATAAAACAGCGTACTGCTCTATACATTCAGTATAGAGCAATACAGTTCGTTTTTTACGTGGTAGAGCCATGCTGCAGTTATATTAGTAGTATAGTTGTAGCACAAATGGGTCGGCTCGACCGGGGAAGGATCACGCTCTCAAGTCCAGCGTGAAATAGTAGCGGTTGTAGGTGAGGTAGAGAAGGAACCTTTTTTGGAAAGAGTAGTGGGTGACCGTTCGTAATGAGGAGAGGGTTTGGGAAGAACACTTACATCAGGTGGACTGTGTGCTGTTTGTTATCTATAAAAAAAAGTTCACAATAACTTAATATGCCCCCGTCACAATCACACATTAGTGTAACATGAGGGACGTAAGTATATGATAAAACCAAAATATGCAAACCAACACCAACACTACACATCTCAGTGTAACACGGAGCAGCCTCTCAGCAACACGATCTTCCTTGCCTACACTAGAAGTACTCAGACGAAATAAAAACTTCAGAAGTATTACTACCACGAACAGAACCACTAGATACTATCTTAGCACTCGTAGCATGGCTTCACTCTTAGACTCTTTTCACTGGAAACGAGGCATTCAATATCAGTCCTCAGGGCTGGCAACGCATCTGCATTTTGATTCTTAATTGAAGGTAAATGTAGATGTCTATTGGCCACAGCATCCACTTACCATCAGGTGAACTGGGTGCTCGTTTGTCACCCTTATTCTATAAAAAAATAATGACTTAGGCGGAATCTACCGCGCACAGCGTCTACAGTGTATTTTATACTGCACAAACGAGTGGGGGTTTCTTGGTATACCCTCAATTCCACCTCACCACGCACCATCGAAGACGCTCCGCCAGTGACGCACAACCTCTCGCTCACTCTCGATCCAACCGGTATTTTATAGACGCACCGACAAATGTTAAATATTATGCGTGTGGTTATTATTTTTTAAATTAAATTTTTGTTACAGAGACGTACATTTGCCATGTAGTGGTTTCGTAAGAGAATCCACTACTCTATAGCAAACTGTGGGTGTTGTAAGACGGGTGAGAGGGAAGCTTAAGCAGGAGATGGCTATCTCCACCTTCTAGGTAAACAATTTAATAATAATAGTATTTTTTATTATTATTATACATGTGAATGACATTCGTAACTCCGGATGTCAAACATGTTAATACTAATGCCATCAAAAACATAAGTTGTAAAAAAAAAACAAGTCTCGCAACTCAGTTCTTCTACCGTAAAAAGTTGTGAGATCCATGTAATACCAAGTCGGTTAATTTATTCAGTCCCTATTTAAGGATCCTTCTGTTTAAAGTTAATACGTAATTAACTAACCTAACAACATTTTATAGTGACCATATCAATGTAAAAAATCTTTTATGTTTTAAATATATAGATTGACTAGGCCATCGCACTAAGCAATCGAGCATTAGGCAGCTTATATAAATAAATTACGATATGATATACTTATTATGTATAAGTAATAAGCATTTTTAACTTACCGCATAGCGAAACTGTGCATTGTACTCCCTATTATTCGCTTTGATTCTCCGTTCATTGTCTGTAACAACCAAAAATATTGAAAATTAAACTTTTGTTTCGCATATAATAACTTAAATTTAAAGAGATTTGTAGAAAATAAGACTAATTTTAAGGAAAATGTTTTTCAATAGTGTTCACGAGCTCATTGGGTTAGTTTGATTACTGTTAAACACCACACAAATATTTATCGGGATCGAAATTTCGATTAGCAGCATTATTCAAAATCTACGAAGTTATGATTTGTTCACAGAATTAATTATAGTGTACTTAAATAAAATGAAGAAATCTAATGTTCTAGTGATCACTAGTTAGCATGTAGTCGACAGCTCTAGCCATAACATAACATTTACTTTTTGTTGAGGTTTTCGTGTGGTGGTCTGATTTTTCGCGTTTATCCTCGTGTCTCTGGTAATGTCATAATGCCTACCTCCATCATTTCCTATTTTAAGTGTTTTCTTGGGCACAGGTGGGTTAACTATTATACATGTGGAGTAGCGGTACCTGTATACCTGCGTACTGTTCAAGTCATTAACAAAGAAGTTCGACATTATGGGAATATGCATTATGCATTAGAATTTCATCCAGTCAAATGTTTTAATAGAGAGATGGCATAGCAAGCTAACAGTCACACTTATAGCTTGGGTCGCAATAACTCAGTAGACAAAATAATTACCATACTTATTTAGAGATTTAAATTCAACGAATTTTATGTTATTTTTTATAAGCCGAGTTGGTCCAAGAGCCACGAATTAGTTTAACAAGTTTTATACTCTTATTACGCAAACAACTACTTAGTGAGAAATTGAGTTCATAAAGGTAAAGCAACATTGAGACTATAAGCTAAGCAATTAAGACGACATTGTACTGACTAAGCAATATTGTAATGCGTTACATAGACAGCAACTTGACGGCTATAAAATTGCAGCTAAAGATTGCCACAAATCTAAGTCTTTTAAGAGACCTTTATAGAACTGTATAATACATGTTGGCCAAACCTCAACCAACGCGAGCGTAAGCAAATTTATACAAGGCGAGTTCTACAGTCTAGATATTAGCTAAGTTTGAATGAGTGAACACACTGCCATATGACTGACGACGACGACTAACATGTGGACACGACTTGCCGAGTGCAGGCGAGCGCCTTTGATTTGTGCAGAAAAACCGACACTGTTGCGAAGTGAGACGAGTCGTGACGAGCGATCTCGAGTGGTGGCAAGGCACGCCAAACAAACCGTATGACACGTTGGCGCCCGCCTGCACTCGGCCAGCTAGGCGAGCGACGACGAGCAATGGCGAGGGTAGACAAATGTGCAGTCTATACGTTGGCACTCGCCTATCACCTTTGCTCGGCTAACATGTATTGCCGACTGAAAAGGTAGGCCGAAGTGAAAATAAACATTATTAATCATCAGTCTCGTGTCGGTAAGCGTACGAGGTAGTTGTTTATACTGTGCGTTAAGTTGTTTACGTTAAGTGAATCAACGATATATACTGCGCGCGATTACGCGCTGTGTCGCGGCGTGCCAAACCGGTTTGCTGTTAACTGCAGCGATGCAACTTATCTAAGTGCCGGACGTTAGGTCTGTTAATATAATGGAATCTGTGCGTAATGAATTTAGCGTTGATGTACTGCGGACGTCGAGTAGCAGTCCTAATATGGAGTTAAATAAATCGGAATTTGAATTGGACCAGTACGATGATGAAATAATATCTCAGGTACAGATGGATAGCGAGTGTAGTAATATAGGTAAAAGTAAAAGAAACAGGGATGAAGAAGAAAATGAATGGATGTTGGTAAAGAGAAAAGAAAAGATTGTTAAAGTTGGGCACGATAAAATTGAGGTGTATATTTCAAGTAATGAGAAGTTACCTAAGCAATTTGGCTTAGCTAGGTTGTTGAAGGAGCAACAAATTTTAGACATATCTAGAGTTAAATATTTAAACCCGTACAAAGTGCGTTTAGATATTACTAATGAGATGAGTGTAACCAAGTTGGAAACATGTAAAGCGTTGATTGAAAGGGGTTGGAAAGTTCAAAAAGCTATGGAAAAAAGCGTTTCATATGGGGTTATTAGGGATGTTGATATGGAATTAGGTGATGAGGAAATACTTAAGAACATTTCATGTCCCAACAATGCAGAACTTCTTTCCATCAAGCGACTGCAAAGACGAAGTGCAACAGGAAGTGGTTGGGTTCCTAGTGAATCAATACAACTTTGTTTCAAGGGATCGTTTCTACCAGCATACGTACACGTTGAGGGTTTGAGGATTAAAGTGGATCCATATGTGTTTCCGGTGTCACAGTGTTCGCGCTGTTGGAAATTAGGCCATACAATTAAAAAATGCCCATATAACAAAGTAGTGTGTCCTAAGTGCGGCGAAAACCATGAAAATTGTAATATAAATACCTACAAGTGTGTTAATTGTACAGGTAATCACATGTCCTTGGCCAGGACCTGCCCAGCATATCAGCGGGAAAAAAGACTGAGGGAATTGATGGCAGAGTTTAACTGTACATATAGAAAAGCGCTTACAATTATTGTAACACCTAGCTCTCCGGTGCAAGAGACAAACACCTCGAACAGTGAAATAACCGGTTTAAGGTCGGAAGCTCCGCAAGCTCAGTCTACCTCATATAACCAGGGCCGCGAACATGACCAGGTTACGTTTGCTCAGGTGGTAAGACTGAGGCAATAGTACATAATGAATCGGAACCGAAACATAACGTCCGGATCAAGAAGACACCGCGGCTAGGCGCCAGGAGAGCTGTCTCCCCTGAACGCCACGCTAATTCCATGGATACACCAACAATGGTCCATTTGGAGGCCAAGACACCCCCCGAAAAAGGAAGTGAACTTTAGTGAATTATTAAATAGACTGAAAGAGATCATATTTTTAAGAAATGCATCTATACAAGACAAGATAAAGGAGGTGATAAAGTGTTGTGTGGAATGGTTGATTTTAGTTGTAGTAGATAATATTTCGGATTGGCCTATTTTAAAATTATTACTGGACTATTTAAATGGATAGTACAAAAAAACATGTTAAGATAAATATTATCCAGTGGAATTGTCAAAGTATCAGACCTAAGCTAGTTGCATTTGAACAGTTACTGTCGCAGGAAAAGATCCACATTGCGGTTCTAAGTGAAACATGGTTAGAGCAGGACAGCCCATTAAAAATTAGTAACTATAACATACACCGTAGGGATCGTTTCGATTCCTACGGCGGAGTAGCAATAATTACCCACAAAACAGTTAAGTGTAGCTTACAAAATATGCCAATAGTTAACCCGGGCATAGAGATTCTTTATTTAAAGGTTTACAATTGTGTTGATATTGAAAACATTATGGCTGTTTATTGTCCTCCTTCTGTACATACAACCGTTAATGATTGGGTTCAATTACTATCTTTTATCAATAAAAAATCGCTTTTACTTGGCGACTTCAATGCACACCATAATACTTGGTCAATGAAAACAGACTCCAGAGAAGTTCAGATTTTTGACGCGTTAATAGATAACTCGTTAATAACATTAAACAATGGTGGACCAACGCGCATTAAGTTAGTTAACGGTAGCTTGCAGGAATACTCCCCCGGATATTTCTTTCTCATCTGCGGATATCGCTCTAAAACTCGATTGGGCCATAATAAATGAAACTTTAGGCAGTGATCATCAAATAATTAAAATATCCATTAATATTAAAACTAGTAATATGAAGGTTATAAGAAGAAACTTTAAGAAAGCCGACTGGATTGGGTACAAAGATGCGCTTCACAGGAATTTTTCAGGTATATCACTACCTAAAGACCTACAAAACGCATATGATTTATTCATTGAATGCATTAACGAAGCGGCTAAAGAGCACATCCCTCCTATAAAAATCAACTATGACCCAAGCAACGAATTTAAACCTTTACCCTATTGGAATTCTGCACTATCTAAAGCAGTTGCTGAACGACGGTTGGCACTATCAAAATTTAGACGAAACCCTACTCCACAGAATTTTGATATCCTAAAAGATAAAATCCATATAGCGCAAAAATTAATACGAACAGCGAAAAACAACGCTTAGCAAGAGTTTTGTTCTACCATTGATCATTCAGCCTCTCAAAATGACTTGTGGCGTAAAATGAAATGGTTGAAGGGTTACAGGGCTCACAACCATTTTATTGATAAGGATTTAGCTTCCGAATTGATTAATACTTTAACACCTGATTTTGTTTCCCCCATGAAACCTGCTGTTCTATCTACTAATCCAAAATTAGAAACCAAAATCTCATTACATGAATTAGAAATGAGTATTAGGCCTACTGACACGTCCCCAGGAGCGGACCATATTTCATATTCCATGATTAAAAATCTCCCAAATAATGGAAAATGCTTATTGCTTGATTTATATAATAAGTTTTTATGGGGTGGTTTTGTCCCTAATCAGTGGAGAGATATATTAATTGTGCCAATCCCTAAACCAGGGAGAGATAATAGTTTAGTTTCAGCATTACGTCCCATCTCTATGATCTCGTGTATGTGTAAAATTTTTCACACTATTATTAAAAACAGATTAGAATGGTATATTGAAAAAAATAATATTTTATCGAATAACACAAAAGGTTTTAGAAGAGGTCGTTCAACGTTAAATAACCTTTCTAGTCTGGTTTCTGAAATTCAGTTAGGCTTAACAAGTAGAATAGCTACAATTGGTTGTTTTATAGATATAGACAACGCATACAATAACGTGGATATTACTAGTGTAATTCAGGCTATGGATCGTTTTGGTGTAGGTTCAGCTATATGTAATTACCTATGGAATTTTCTCAGTCAAAGATCATTAAAAAGATTCAAGTTAACATTGCCATAATTTGCCGAAATACAGGTAGAGGATTGGCTCACCCATTATCACCATTGCTATTCAACATAATTACGACACAAATATGCAAAGAGGTACAAAAGGTTCGCATATCACAATATGCAGATGACTTTGTTATATACGTGGGCCGTAAAAATTTATTAGAAGCTGTTGACTATCTCCAAGAGGCATTGGATTTAGTAAGCTCACTGCTTTTCAACATAGGTCTAGATGTGTCTCCTATAAAAGTAAAGTGTGTTTGTTCTCTTGTGGATTTAGACGTGAGTTGATAGACTTAAAAATTAATGGCTTTTCCTTAGAGGTAGTTGATAGTATAAAATATTTAGGTATATGGTTGGATCGTGGTCTAAGATGGGGAAAACATATAGATGAACTTGCCGAAAAAACGCTTAAGTTTCTAAATATTCTCAAATGTTTGTCTGGGCCAGGGTGGGGTCTACATCCATCACATTTGCGTCGTTTGTATATCACAATCATAAGAAGCAGAATTGATTATGCTTGTTTCCTCTATGATAGAAGTAGTGTACCGCACCTTAAAAAATTAGAACGAGTGCAAAATCAAGCTATGAGAGTTATTGGTGGATTTTTAAGAAGCACGCCAATCCATGTGATGGAAAATGAGCTTTGTATTGAGCCGCTACATATACGAAGGTATTATCTTGCAGGAAAATTCTGGCTGAAAACAAAATCACTTTTAGATAATGAATTAATTATAGTATTAGATAAGTCAGACAAATATTTCGTGACTCATCCATCATGTAAGAAAAAGAAACCTCTGTTGGCAGTCGTACATAATTTTCTTAAAAGCCCTAATATTCATACCTCCACGCAACTTGAAATGTTCTCCTTAGATACCTGGGTTAGCAATGTGGATCTTTCTGGTATTGTACTTTCTCTTATTGAGACTATTGATAAACCTAAACACGACTATAGCAATGTGGTTCTGAGACAAATAAGTTTAAAATTTATTCATGACAAATATTTGCAATCTTATAAAATTTATACCGATGGATCTAAAGATAATAATAATAATTTTGGAGCAGCTTTTTATGACCCTCAAAACATATCAATGAAATTCAAAATTAATTCAAACGTTTCTATAATGTATGCTGAACTGATAGCAATTTCAGAAGCTGTATCGTACATTGCATCACTCAATCACAAATATCAGTATGTTATTTTGACAGACTCTAAGAGTGCTCTGCAACACTTGGCTCGTTGTACCTCGAATTTTCGAGGAACACCGATAGCCTACAGTATTTTGAAGTGTATTGATAGTTTAACCAAAAAAATTATAATTGTTGTTTTACAGTGGATCCCTGCTCATATTGGCCTAGTAGGTAATGAAGCGGCGGATAGACTAGCAAAGGAAGCTTCCTCTGACGGTATTTTACTGCATTGTTTACCTTATTTTTCAGACTTTCTATACAAGGTGAAAGAAAGATGTGTCAGTCTGTGGAAGGAATACTTTAATGAGAGATCTCTTACAAAAGCAATATGGTATAAAACTATTCAACCAAATATTTCCACTTCTTCATGGGTAGATAGGGCCAATATGGGCAGGGCCGATATTGTTACAGCTCTAAGACTTCGATCGGGACACATACCAATGAATAGCTTTGCTTTTTTGATGGGAAAGACCGAATCCCCTAACTGTGTAGAATGTGATCAGTTAGAAGATATATTACATATTTTGGTGGAGTGGGTTCGAATCGAGGCTGAAAGAGCAAATTTTTGCAATAAATATAATATAAATAGATTAGATATCGGATTTTGTAACAGTATTCTGGCCTTGCCATTATCTGGGGAAGCCAGAATGCTGTACAAAATGGTCCAAGTTGGACTTAAAAGAAGATAAAAAAAAATATGTAAATACAATGGGGGTGACATTATAATAATTTTATAAAACCCTCTTTAAAAAAATAAAAAATAAAAAAATTTATTAATCATGGAATTATTTCCGATTACCATTTCATCACAAAATCTATGTTTTGATTAATATTTAATAATCTGTTTCGAAATTGGTTTTCTTAAATTACAACAGTAACTACAATATCTTATTACAAAAATCACATAAATTACTAGGTAAATTTATATCTGACCATGTAGTAGCAGTGTAAGAATATCCACTACTCCATATCATCACGTGGGTCTCGTAAGAGGCGACCGACGGAATCAAACCCGGAGACGGGCATAGCGTCTTCCTAATAACAACTAAATATAGAACTGCGGTTGCAAACCCGCCTGCCAAGCGTGCCAACTATGGCAAATATCTCTCTCATGAAACAATCTATGACGAAGACCTACGTTCAGCTGTTGACTTTCAATAAGCTATAACGGTAACGGTAAATTCATATCATACAAAAATGTAACCTTGTTATAATTTAAAAAGAAAAAAAAAATTAACGCCATATTCACTAATGTAGTGTTAAGATTATATTAGAAGGACAACAAACAACAAGGTTTAAGAGATTAATCTAGCTCGTAACTAGGTCTTCTATTATATTTATCAGCTTTACATGTGACGTGTGACTTGTTCGCTATAGTAATCGTTGTGTGAAATAGCATTAATGTTACGGCTAATCATAGAATTAAACATAAATTTTAGATTTAGTTTTGCCTAATGTTCGACAAAAAGTTCATATTCAATTAACTTTTACATCTTTAGCCAAATAATGTATAAATTATTATATTAGGTGACATAGCAGACGTTGTTCTTAGCATTTCTAAAATATATGTAAAAATATAAAATTAATTAATAACTCAACCATAGCTGGTATGAGGTGATCGCTACCAAGCTATTTCTAATTTGTTTCGTATTGTTAA